CGAGATCAGACGACTTGTGTACTTATCAAGTACAACAATATTAAGGCGGATTCTAACGACCCGTCTACTTGGCAAGTACACCAATATTTGCGTAATTGGCAAGTATACTATGTTCGTAAACATTTTTTTTTGAAAAATGTTTACGAACGGCCGCGGCTTCACGAATGACAAATAATTGCACAAGGTAACCACTTATACAACAATGCAAGTATATCCCAATAATCAATATTTTTACGAGCCGTCAGAGTTCGCCGTTAAACCGGACACAGACACAGACTCGTGTACTTGACAAACATTTGTTATTGGCATAAACTTGCCATGTGAGAGTGGTTTACTTGTGCAATTATTTGTCACTTGTCGAGCCGCGTGAGCGCCAACCTTCTTACTGGCATACTTGCCAAGTGCGCAAATATTGGTGTATTGGCAAACATTTGTTATTGACATATACTTGCCATTTTGTGTAAATTGTTTACTTATGCAATTATTTGTCACGTCGCGTCGCGTCGTGTGAGCGCCAACCACCATTATTGTTTACAAAGATGGCATACTTGCCAAGTACGAAAATATTGGTGTATTTGCCAAGTATAATGACAATAACAGTAAAATTATTTCGCATTCGTTTAAGCGCATCGACAAGTATAGACTAGTTATATTTGGAAAGTGTACCGGAGTAACGAGGAAGAATAGTAAACTTCTAGGTAACTAATTTTTTTTCTTTATATATTTTTGGCCACTTTTTTAGTAATATTTCTATTAATGATTTTTCCTATATTTTTCTATACTAGGCATATTACATTAGTTATTAATAAAATAGTAGATTGTTTTATTAGGAGCATAAATTACAGTCTCGCCTGTACGTTTGACATACAGCCGAGGCACAAAAAGTTATTTTTACTCCGAATAGAACATTATATTTTTTTTCCAACGCCACAATTAATTTTTTAAACAATTTCAAACATTCCAAATAATATAAAAAATTTAAATGTTATACCTTGTATGTAATTATATACGAAAAACTATGGATACGGCTCTTTGAATTTGACACTTTATGTCAGTTTAATAGTACATTTTCGTACTTTTATGCAAACTTTTATGCCTAGGCTTTAAAATGACTTTTTTATATCGTCAATCACGTCGCAAAAATTATTACTTTTGTTACGTTTGAAAAAAAAAAATTATTGCATTATTATTAAGTCGAGTTAATTTTAAAAGAGTTCTAGGATTTCACAACACCAATGTAAAACTAAACGGTTTGGGCGTAGTACTAAATACTACTTCCCTGGGATATCAATGGCTCTTCTACATTACTTGAGAACATTACAACATACAAAATTATATTTTTCTATGTAACTTACACGTTTTTCAAAATAATTTGTGGTTTTTATAAATACTAACAAGTAACAGCAAATCATTTACAAATGTATTATGAAAAACAGATTATTTTATGCATATTTCATCCATGATTTGATTTTACTTAATGTAAAAGTAAAATATAACACACCATTTTGATTATTATTTTATATATGTCGATAATATATTCATTGTTTAATATAAACACAGCACACACTATGAAATATAAATATAATTTTCATTATTGTATAAGTTTCAATACAAGTAATTTTTTCAAACTTACTCTGTGATGTGTAATCCAAATATAGAATGGTGACAAATATACATATCACATTACTTGCACGTTGTATTATCAACAAAATTATTATTAATTAATGAAAAATTTTCTAATTATAAGCCTTTATGCTTCGTATAAATTGACCTATTTAATTTTTTTTTAAATGATACACAATTTTAATATCATTTTGTAGGTTGATTTTAAAATTCTCTCTACATATCTATATATATAAAATAAAACAAAATACTGTTATATATCTATGTATTTATTTGTTTGTAGGAATTGTCCCCCATGAAAAGTTCTCTAAAAGAACACTTATGTTTTTCAGAAAGTAACTAAAATTACTTTTTTTGTGTCTCCCAAGTTGCCCGTAAGGGGACGTTATTTCGATATATGTATAGGTATGTCACTTCTAAATACAAACAGCGAAAATGGTCTTTCTGTATACTACTACAAAAAGTAACAGGCCTTAACAGTTTTGTTAGAAACTCGTCAAATAAAAAAGCAATAAAATACTGTAGTAAAAACGTAATGTAGGAGGATAAATCCAAAAACACTAACAATGATTTCAGCTATCCGCAGTGCAGCAAGAGTGTGAAATACAATACTAGTGTGCTTTTTGGCGGATAATAATCGCATTGTGTTCTCCGTCCTATTGTCCAGTTCGAAAAAAATAAAAGCAAATGTTCTATCGAAACTGGTTTTGAAGCACCTTTGCATACTCGGGTTTGCTGACACTTTATGCTCTATACCGGATGTTTTTAAAAAGTGTCTCACCCTCATAACTTTTTTTATTTTTTACTAGTTAAAAAAACGAAATTTAGTTTATTAGTATAAGACATAAATCGGGATTGATTGACGTATTCAATTACTTTCGGTCGCTTTCTCTTTCAGAGGAAATGACTACTAGTTTTTATTATTAAATAGTAACTTCAGTATTTTTTTTTAATTTTATATGATAGAAAATGACAGTGAATAAAATGACATTTCATATGTCAACTTTTGACATTTTTAATTAAAAAAAAAATAACATTTTAAATTTCAGTCCATAGCAAATTTTTGGATGTAAAGTAATCCGCCGAACTATTTCCGATGCACGTGATCAACTTTAAGTGACAAGCGATAGCGACAGCGCTGCCAGATTATGATGGATTTATGAGATGAATCTAAATGTAAAATTGGGAAATAATATTTATTATTATATTATTTTCTTATATCATTTTTTAATGATTTTTAATTTAATAACTAATATTCTAGTAATTAATTTATTTGTTAACAATAGTCACTAACACTCACAGTAGAAATATTTAAATTTAAGGCAGCAGCTACTCGCTACAAATCGAAATAAGTAGAAACAACTTTTAAAGTGGTATAATGTGCTTACCAAAACTTCTCCGATGCAGTCAAGGGTATTAAAGAACCTTTATTGTCACCTATTCGTTCAAAATAGTTTATCAGGAAAACTAAAAGCTTTTTGCTTCGACTGTTTAAATGCTTCGGCATATTTTCAACATACAATTTCAAGAAATGCAATACAAAAACTGGAAAATTTAGTTCTTAAAAGAACTATTTGTGTTAAAAGTACAATTTTTAAAAAAGACTAAGAAAATCGGCAAAAAAACGAGAATTACTCCCAAAGATTCAACAACAATACGATATTATACAAAATAATGACTGACATTATGATAATTGTCAAGCACAAAACATCCCCTTTAGAACTTCGTCTGTCATGTTAAGAAATGAAAGTAAATAATAAAGCGCCTCTCGTGTTTGTTCGCACTCAAAAAATTTCAATTAATGCCTGTATATATTTTTAATATATTTTTTAAATTTACATTTTTTTAATCGAAAAGTAATATATTACATTTAAATGGAATATATTACATAACAATTATGTCAATTACAGGATTACAAGCTTGTTTTCTAACATTTCTTAAATAAAACGAATTATAAAATTTCAATATATGTATATTTGTCGTAGGTATGAAAAAAGTGAAATATAAAATGGACAAACGCTTACTTACATTGCAATAAAACTTCCACTTTTAGTTTTGCAATCTAAACGCAATATTTCTATTTCACAAAGAAAAATATCCGACAACACTAAAATCACTGAAACTTCCGCGGCTGACAACGAAAACTGAAAAATATAACGGCACTTTTTGTTTTGGACCTGCATATCAACGTTACGCTGTACTATTATGTATTTGTTGTTGAAAAAATATAAAATATCTAATTATAACTTCTAAATTTTAATATTTTAACATGATTTTAAGTACTTTTGACAATAACTAACTTTTTATCAAGACGGCAACTGACATATATGTCATAATATTTGAATCTTAAATATGTATGTAATATAATTTAAATTACTTTAATGCAACTTTATACTAAGAAAACATTTATACATTCACAAAATTCAACAAAGTCTAATAATATAGTTTAAAAACAATGAATACCGAGTTAAAATTGAAAAAGCTAAGCGCGACCCCTTGTGTCAAAATTAGATGATTAAATTTTCGCAATTTTTACACCATTTGATGACCCGTGGCACCTCTAGTATTTGTTCGGGCGGTTGGTCTTTTACTCCCGCTTATGGCCATTAAAGAAAAAGTTCTAAAGGTGGATGTTTTGTGTTGTCAAGTAATAAACGACAACTTAAATAAAAAAGGGTTCAAAATAATTTTTGCAGCTTTAATCTAAATAAAATATCTGTTACAGTCTTTTGCACTTTAAGATAAAATGAAGAGCTGCTCGGTATCTTAAATTATACAATAAATTTAAACGTTTTTGGCAAAATTTTATTTAGTCAGGTTTATAGGCTTTAGTGTCAATTTTGATATGATTAATGACGTGCATCGGAATATGTATTGCGATTACCGTATAGATGTATTTCAAACGTTAATTTTTCGTTCGAAAAATATTAGTTTGTATGTTTAATGTTCTGAAGCTTAAATTTAATAATGTGCGATGGAACATTATTTTAATATTCTTGAATACTGAAATAGTTTAATTTTTGCAAAACTTTTTGTTTAAACCGAATTTTGATAATGTTTTTTTGAGTGCTGGAATATTACTTTAATATTCTTAAATACTGAAAATTTAATTTAATTTGCAAAACTTCTTGTTTAAACTGAATTTTTCTGAAATGCCTAATTTATACCCCAAATAAAATAATTATAATAATCATCGGATTTATAACACTAAAAAATATATTTTAATTTTTTCAAAAACTTTTCTTCTTGCGTTTAAGAATTTATAATTTTAGTTTTTTTATTGTACAGGCTGTTGGTTTTTTACATATTTTCTTGAGTGAAAATTATTATATTTAGAATAAAATATTGTTGATATTGTTAATATTGTCTAGACTTACAGCAATTAAACTGGAGGACAAACTTCCTTTTTCTTTAGATCCGAAGTGTTCAATAACTTGCCAATTACTTTTCTTGGTATGTTCTCCTCCAACGCTACCGGGAAACGGACTGGTGTTAGCGGTGGAAGATGGAGTTGAGAGAGGTGTCGTAGTCCCTGTACCTAAAAAAATAATAATTTTTTTAAGTTGGTATATTTTAGGAATTAGTAATATATGTAAAGATTTGAATAAGTATACAAATACCTAATAATATAATTATTTATTATGAAAAATAACTATTGGAGATCTAATTTTGGTGGATTTGCTATTTTCTCTATAATCTGTATGTGTTAACTTATTAAAGTTATTATTAAAATATCTCTTATTAGGAAGAGTAAGATAATAGTTAAAGAGATACTCATAGAGAAAATATCAGTTATAACTAAAATAATACTAGTACTCAAATTAATAATAATATTAGTGTCATATGTCGTAGCATTGGTGCAATATGTCTATATTTGATATTAATTAAACTTTTGGTTACGTAATTGAGGGCGCAATTTTTAAATTCATTGTTGCCAACCATTGACATATACGGCGCCGTGCCGACTATTTGGAATTTAAATTTCGCGCTGGGGATTCAGGTGGTAGCTCTGCAGTGAAAATTGTCAAGTTGCCGCATTTATTTATTTATTTCCTGACATTGTCATTTGTTTTGACACTTTGGTTCTGTATAACGAGTTTTTGGTTTAAATAATAACATATTGTGATACTTTAAGCTTAAAAATGTTTGCCAGCAAATCTTGCAGTCAAACATTGTTCTTTTTAGAACCTCTTTTTGTGCGAAGTGTACAAGATAACCGTAATAACTCACTGCAACTTTATTATAATATTTCGAACGGGAAAGCAGTAGTAATGGCCGTTTATATCCCTAAAGTGCTGTTAAGAAGGTGAGTTTTGTTAATGTAAATAATAACTGTTTATATATTTATAATTAATTTATTTTTGTTTCCTAAAATATTTTGATTAAAAGAAAATATATAAAGGTGAGCAACGCTGTGCCGGTCAAGCTTACAGCGCTTTCATATAGAGCGGACCGTCCGTCGTAATTTTTCAAGATAGCCGTCGGACGAAATCAGCTGGACGGAGTATACGCGCCCATGTAAAATTGTTCATATAAGGTACTTGCTCGAAGTCGTGGACGGTCCGTCGCGGACAGTCCGGTCCATCTGAAAGCGCTGTTAATTACTTGACCAAAAGTTTATTTGGTATGAACTGTATTATAGTTTGTTTATATGTTGATTATATTATTTCGGTTTTTTTTCAAAATCTATTTATCTAGTATTAGAAACTAGATAATAAAAGTAGTACTTGACTTTAGTATTATAATAATATTGAATTATAATGGGGAACTTTGTAGTAGTAAACTAAAATATCGCAAACTATATAACTTATTAATATACATATATTTCCAGAGATAAATTTTTAAATAATTTTCTCTATCATGTACCCTGGTATACTTATAAGAACAAGTGATTGATGTGTTCTGGTCTATGTATTTTTATATTAACTTTTTAAATTAGACTAACTTTTTCATGGTTTTTGTGTATTTTGGATTATTATCAGAATAATTTGGTGTTACAATAAAATCTTTTGGCGGAAATATGTTTATATATTTTAAAATCTGTAAAGACTTGCGTTTTATTCAGGGATATGGATAAATAAAGCCAAGGCTTTTCCTAGTATTCGCTTCACGTAATTTTTACGGAGTTACGGCTTTTTCCTGTATTTTAACAGCTCGCATCTCAAAGGAAGTGTTACGTATTACTGAACTATGGCTTTAAAGTTTTCTTGAAAGCAAATTCTCCGTCTGTGTGTATATTCATAAATATTTTTTATTTCTATGTATGAACCAAATAGTGTAAAAATAAATGCAATAGATGAAATGATGTATGTTAAAAAGAACTTATTTTTTGTACAATTTTTAAAACTATTTATGCATTGTTTACGTTTGTGATGCGCCCTATTTTTGATCATTTTTATGTGTTAAAATATGTGTAAATTAAAACAAGAAAGGCAGTAAAACCTCTATTTTCGGACACCTTCATATAAGGGACACCTATAGTATTGGACAATTTTATTTTCACTAAATTTTACAATTCGATTTTCTTAATATGTATACCTCTGAATAACGGCCCCTGCGTATACTGGATATGGACGGTCTGGCGTCGGCAAAACGGAAAAATTAATGTAAATTTACCTCTCACTGTCGGACAGACTGGACTACACACACCTATCATTGTCGCCAAAATGTTTAGGTATTTACGATGTACATAATTACCTGCCCGGGTAAATATAATACAATTTTTAAGAAAAAAGGCATAACTCTCTCTTTCATTGAAAAAAGGTGCATTTTCTTTTAAACCAAACAAAAAATGCAAAATATGCTACTTGCATTTTTACCATGCCTTAATAATGATAGAAGATGAAGAGCGAAAAGTAAAAACTAATTGTTTCACTAATTTGTAGAAAATAAAGAAAAATACATAGAATTAAATTAAATTAAATTTGCAAATTATTTATATAGCATTATCTAACTACAATCATTGCTAATGCATTGAATATATTAAAATAGCTAATTTATTTGATTTTAGCATCGTATATAAATAAATAATTTTTTAATCATGCGAATAACAAAATACATAATTAATATAATGTATTTATTATTCATTGCATATATTTAATCAATACCGGTTTAATTATTTATTAAAATATTTAATGTGCCATAATCCAACAAACATTTTAATTAATATTATCTCACGTTATAGTCAGTACAATCTTTCATTTTCACTAAATTTTATCCGTATTAATTCAATTTATTAACAATTTAATAAATCCTGTACAAAGGAGTTTAGGGGAAGAAAAGTTAATTTTACGTTACCGTAATCACCTTACGCTTAATATTAACCTTGTGTTACAATATCAGTTACATACTTTTGCTGTACTTTACCATTTATTTATATTTTTGTTATTATAATTTAGTTCAATCTAAGTATTGTTACATATCTTTAAATAAAACAATTTTGTTTGTAATCGGCACTTCAGATTTATTACCTAGCATAATATACAATTTGTGTAACATAATTAGTTATAAATTCAAATATAAAAAAAATATGTTTATATAAATTAAATGTTCCGTCGGTGATTTAGATTACAATAGAGTGAATCTATATAAATTTAACTATACAATAGACAATCTAAATCACAATCACAAACTAGTGGTGTAGCCGGCTCTAACGTAAACAGAGAATTAATTTATAAAAGATTGAATAACGCACATACATATTTCCAATTTGAATAGATAATTTGTACCGATAATTTATATCCTGCAATGAGAGACAAACAATTGGATTTAACCGTGTTATTTTAAATAAAATAAGTGACATAAAATTTAAAATTGATTAAAATGAAACTTAAAGCCAAAAACTTAAATAACTAACTTAAATAAACTTAAATATTCACACAAGTTATGTCTGATAAAATAAATAACCAGAAATCTGGTTACTTAAAATTAAATAAAAATATTCCGTGTGCAAATGAATTAACTATAAATGTATGTATCATACATGATTATGTTAAAAGCTATAAATTTTTATGTTCTTTTCCATTTTAACATGGCCAAGACACACTAATATTTAAACGAATTGATATTTAGTGATACAACATATTTTTTTGATCGAGTTTACTTAAATATTTCTTTATGGGTAATGTATGGTAATTATTTTATTTTTTGAAAATAAAGAAGAAAAAAAAAAATAATTAATTTTGAAGAAATGTGAACTCGCCATAAAGGTATAGGCAATATTCATAATTATTATTATTTTATCTATATAGAATCTTGTCGAATATATATCAACATAAAACGAAATGTAGTTAAAGAAATATCATTGTAACAACAGACACTTTCGAAACGTCTACGTTTACTTATTTCACTGAGATTTATGAAAAAAGTCCTTTGTCTTTGTAAACCGACACGTCGCGTCGTAGAAGTACCTCGAGACAACCAAGATGACAACCAAAAGTCGCCAAAAAAATCCCTCCACTCCCTTCTCCGCAATTTCACGAGTAGTTTCAAGAAGTTTTAAAAGAAATGAAAATAAGCCGAGACAATCGGAGACAAGCCGAGACAAGACAAAGTTAGACGAGAAAGACGGAATAACCGTCTTTGCTATTCTACCTTGACATACTTCAAGATGTTTCGGTTAGGTTAGGAAAAAAATTGTGTTTGTAAATTGGTTAGGAAATGTCCTGAATTTATTCTATTATTACATTTATATGGAAACTTACAATAAAATACAAGCGTGTAATAAATTAAAAGTTGTTTATTATTATTATTTCCAAGAAATGTATCGTATGAAATTCTTCTTTTTTTATACTTCGCAAAATGCGAGACGAAATTTCCATAAAGCTATCGAGCCAAAGACATTTTATTCGGACTAAATTGGAAACAAATACCATAAATTCTTTGTTCCTTTTTTACGTGTGAAGGAACATTTACATTTTTCTTTGGGTATCTGTAATAACAAGATATTGGGAAGTTTCCAAAAATACGACAAAAAATTTGAAAAATGATATAAGACACAAACGTTTTTCTCATATTTTTCTTTATTATATATAAAAAAGAAGCTGGAAAAGCTCTCAAAATAGACATGACATTGTTTTATTGTTTTTATTTGAATATTTGGCATTGTTTAGAAACCTATAAATATCACTTTTGAGTTTTTAAATATTTTATAAATACGGTAAATTTTATTTCTGTAATAAATAAGTAAATTGACTTTATCCCCATTCGAACCATGAAAAACATACCATACGAAACTACGACTTATTATGTATTAAAACACATAAACTAGATTGCATACACCGTAACATCATTTTTGTTAGATATTTGAAAAGTTATTTAATTATTTTTTTAGTGAAATTAGTATGTGGTAATGCAAAGAAATTTATCTTTAAAATTATGGCAAATCTTTCATTAGGTTTGTACAAGTGAACATTAAATCGCATCAAGGTCGTTCTACAAAGTCTTCTGCAGTTATTGTGAACACAAATCTTTATATTATAATATTTATCTTAATAATAAAATAAATGCAGTAGAAACTGCATTTATTTTATTATTATCAACCCGTAATTTTAACCTACACTGTCATGTTAAGGAAAAACCCGTTAACTGCAATTGAGATACAAGTATGTCATTAAAAAGATAAAAGAATTTTCTAACTAAATGAGAAGAGCAAACAAATTTTTCTGCTTCATTTTCGGAATTAAAATTAAATATAGTTTCACTTTAATTATAAATCTGGCAATTATATTATATCAAAGTGGTCCATTTAGAAATATTAACCAGCAAGACCTTAACTTGTTCATCAGATAAGGATTTTTTCTTTAACACGATAGTATTTGATGTAGAGTTTTCTCGTGATGGCATTAGACTATTATTATTACTTTAAAAACTCATACGGAATAAAATCGGTCACAAAAAAATGATTAACCAAAATTACACTAATTTATTAGTTTAAACAGATACAGTTGATTACGCTCACGTGATTACGCTTGACCGGCACAGCGTTGCCCACTTTTATATATTTTCTTTTAATCAAAATATTTTAGGAAACAAAAATAAATTTATTATAAATATATAAACAATTATTAGCTACATCAACAAAACTCACCTTCTTAACAGCACTTAAGGGACATAAAGGGCCATTACTACCGCTTTCCCGTTCAAAATATTCTAATGAAGTTGCGATGAGTTTTTTACGGCTATTAAGATATCTTGTACGCTTCGCACTAAAAGAGGTTCTAAAATGAACAATGTTCGACTGCAAGGTCAGCTAGTCAACATTTTTAAGCTTAAACTATTACAACACTATTTATTTAAACTAAAAACTCATAATAAAAAAATAAAGTGTTAAAACGAATGACAATGTCAGGAAATAAATAAATAAATGACATTGACATGACATTTTTTACATCAGACCTGCCACCTGAATCCCAGCGGGAAATTTAAATTCCACATAGTCAGCACGGCGCGGAATATGTCCATCGTTGGCAACAATTAATATACATATGATAAAGTGTACATTTGTTATCAGTTTCGAGTTATGGAGTTTTAGAGAAAAATCTTTAGGTGACAGATAGACGTTTTTAAAAATGGGAATCTACTGCAATATTAAATGTATAAATGCAAATAAATGTCATTTTTTAATATAACTTGATAATATATCGTTTATACTATTTGTTTAATAATATCAAAAGAAACATTCTGATTAAAATTGAATATCATATCAACACAACACACCGTACCTTGTAGTTCGAGCTTTAAACATCTTTTATGACAACTTTGTAACTTTAAAAGCTATTATTTACAACCATTTTAATTACAGTTTATCTGGCGATACTTAGTAGCTACAAAAGCAAATTTAATGTAGTAAACGTTTGTTTTCCGCCCTAAATTATATCATAAAATCGCCGTTCATATCTTAATAGGGTTGTTTTGCTATATATTTACGGCCTATCATTAACGCTGTGTATAGACAGTATTGTTTTACTTTGTATGAAATTTAAGGAAAATGGATTATAATTTGTTACGACGATAAAACTGGTATTCGAATTACTGTAATTTAGTTATAATTTGATAATAAATAATCTTTACAGGTTATCAAGTACAGTAGTATCGTAAAAAGTAGTACATATTTCTTAATTAATGTATACAAAGAAAATACTATATTTTTTTTTAGTTTTGCTGATATCCTTATTTAAACTAAAGTAAATATTTTAAAATTGTAATAAAAACATGGCCGATATTTAAAGTATGTTATTCATATTTATTATATTTATATATACAGGCTCTACACTTTTCGGAGAATAGAACGACACACTAACTTTGTCGCGTTTCGGGTGATCCAGTTGTCTTGACCTATTTCGGTTTGTTTCGACCTACTTTCATTTCTTAAAAGCGCCTTAAAACTACTAGTGAAATTGCGGAGAAAAACGTGGAGGGATTTTTTTGGCGTTTCCTGTTGTCTCGTTCAATTTTGTTTCTGTTCGAGCTGTTTCCAAAACGTGGCGGTATCTATACCCGAGGCAAAGGATTTCTTTTTCGTAAATCTCAGCGAAATAAGTAAACCTAGACGTTTCTAAAATATCTGTTACGATGATATTATGTTAATTACATCTCGTTTTATGTTGATATATATTCCACAAGATTAATATTTGAACACACGTTTATAATATGTAAAGTAGATATTTAAGAACAAAACTTTTCACTTAATCTGCGGGAATAAAATTATACAATAATATTTTTATTATATAATTTTATTATAAAAAGAATTAGTATCTAAAAATGTATAAGTTATGTTGGTTTACGCGGCCTTAATTGATTAATGTAACAGTAATGTTGCTTGATGGGCAACTTAATCAAATATATCGAGTTTATTGGGAAAATTATGGATTGACCCAATGCCAATAAAAGTATGGTCTATGGACATTTTTAAAAAGCAAAGTTCTCTTATTGTTTTAAGAGAAAGCTGTAAAAATACTTTTGTATATAATAATAACATAGTTTGATATAAATCCATTCAAAAATAAGAAATAATTAGATGACTTTTAAATAGTTTAACACCGTGCATCATAAAACAGCCTTGAAAAGCTTACCTGTGTCATTTGATGAATCTGATAATTTTGGATGTTGTTTTAAGCTAGTCCATCGCCTGCCAATGCCCCGTTTTAAAGTTGAATTATCCTTAAAAAGAAGATAGTAGGTTAATAATAATTGACAGTGATTCTTTAGCCTTATACATATATTTTTTTAAGTTGTTTCTTGGGTCTGGTGGCTATGGTTAGATTAAAACAATAGTTTTTCGACGACGTTTCGCATTTATTGTGTCATGCTTCTTCAATGCGAAACGTCCTCGAATAACTATTGTTTTAATCTAACCATAGCCACCAGACCCAAGAAACAACTTAAAAAAATAATAAGGTTAATAATAATTACATTATTACTTTTTTTAATTAGTCAATAATAATAACACTTAAAATATATAGACTTTCTGTTTTCGGACGGTTCAGACTCGGTATAAACCCAAAACATCAACTACTTCAAAAAGATATTTTTGAAGTAATTGAAGAACTGACCGAATTTATTTCGATCTTACCTTCTTGAAAAATATTGCTGTCAAACATATAAGATCATCTGTAAACATTTTTTAGAATATCGCGCATCTATTAAAGAAGTTTTTTTAATATACTTTCCCATGATTTCTTTTTGTACTTTTTTAAAGAACACCTATTACCTAAAGTAGCTGTTTATGTTGATAATATTTCATATTATTTTTTACTTAGGCCAGTATAACACTATCAAATTTCTTTGTCAAAGATCTTTGATAAAAAATATTTGATGAAAAATTTTACATTGTTAATATATATTTTATAAAATCACACATATTGCACTGCCAAATTCTTATAAAATAAAAACTATGACAAAGAAATTTGATAGTGTAATACTGACCTTAAGCCATATTCCAATATAACCTCTCCAATCGAAACTCGGAATATATTTTGGCGTTTGTTGTTTTGGTTTGGTATCTTCATATATGTTGGTATTTTCTTAAAAAGAGCAAAAATAAATAAAGTTGCAGCTAATTAACCAAATGCGTACCGCCAGAATTAATTTTGTACCTAAACTTATCGTATAAAGCAGTTTAAGGTTTTTAATAAAAAAGGCGTATATATTTTCAACATCATAATATATTCCGCAAGGCGGTGCATTTATATTTTTACCGCCTAAATATAAATACTGCGAAAATGTTATGTTATGAAAAATTATACAAAAATATGTGTGTGTCTATTAAATTCTTACATTTTAATTAAAACTTTAACAGATCCTGTTCTAATTAAAAAATGTATTTTATTATATTTATATTAATTAATACAACAAAAACACTTCTTGGGGTTAGCGGTCTGTAAAAAATGTATCTATAAGTTAAATTACAAGTTACACATAAAAATAATAAATGAAAAGCAGTAATTTTTAAATATTATTTTTATTTTTCATAAAAAAAAGTACGAAATATATACCGGGTGCGTCTCAAAACTGGTTCAGCCCGATATTTTTTTTTATTTTTTCAGATAAAAAAACGAGATTTGGTATGTTAGTATATGACATAAATTAGGATTCATTGATGTATTCAGTTGTTTTCGGTCACTTCCTAAGTAAGATTAAAGTCCAGTAAATCTTAATCAAATTTACATTTATTTTAATCGTTGAAACTAAAAATGTAGTAATATACAGGGTGTTCCATTTAAAAAATAGAAATTTGATAGTTTTGGGACGCTCTGTACCTTTTGCAAATAATTTTAAATTGTAGCTCTAATAGTCCTAGGCCGAACATAAAACGTACAATTTGTGAAAATCTAATCGTTTGGCTACAATAGTCCGTATTGGATGAGGTGAATAACCCTGCAAATGCATTACCCAAACTACGCAAGTTATTTGTAAATATTATGTAACAGTTAACAAATGCTTAAATTTGTTACAACTGTTGCTATTAGTTCATGGCATAGTACGATAAAATGTAGAGTTTTTTTTATAAAATAGTCAAATTTCGAAGCTAAAGAATATTTAGGTAACCGGATATTCAGACCAGATATATTCAGATTCAGGGCCCACGTAACTCAATAAATATCAGCAAAGACTCGGAAGACATAGAAATAAGCTATACATATAAGTCAAAATAAAAACAGATATAAAAAATTGGCAAAAATAAATCACATAATATATCATTACAAATAGCACTCAACTAGAAAGATTTACATTGAGCCAAATCGCTCCAAAATTAATATTAAAGCTGAGTTGAAATCCAGCTCAAAATTGCTGTGAAATATAAGACCCACTTTCAAAAAGTTATTCTACTTCTTTAAATTAAATTCTAGATTGATAAGCGGAAGTATGGTTTTAATTTTTGTTCAAATTTATTCCATGATAAAATGGTGTCAGTCTGTTAGGGGGAATATTTTATAAATTTAAATGGATAATACCCTAAAAGCATACATTTTTAAATTAAATATTGCATTTCTCTGTTAAAGTCAAAATATTAATGTTTATGCTTACGATTAAAACTCCGTTTTCAAGTTTAAATATGATATGTTTGTAAATGTAACATATTTTATAATAAATATAGATATATATTTTGGTAAAATTATATCACTAAAATATGTAGATAGAACTCTATGTTTTTGTCCATTTATTGAAAAGTAAATTTAAAACAGAAAATAACGTTTATAATTTAATACTTTATATTCTACACAAAAACATTGAAATATAATAAAATAAAATCTTTAATTGACTGAACTAATTCACAAAATGTTTTAGTTTAATCTTAGTGAAATTTTACTGGAAATACTTGTTTGAAATAGTCATTCAGGCAATGAGTGAGTTAATTCCCTTTTCGGAACTTAAATTAGTTCTCCAATAAGCGGGATAGAAAATTTTAAAATTTGACTAAATGTAGCTGTAAAGGATAACGAACGAAATGGGGAATATTTTGCTTTCATTATAAAATTATCGAACTGATCGAGCATACTAAATCAAAATGGTAAAGCTAACACTATTATTTCTTTTAGTTTTGTTAATATATTTATCCTTACAATTGCATTGAAAATAAAAAAAATGATTGTTTCATATACAGGGTGTCCCAATATTTCGTAGACATAGGACCGTGGACTACTACGTATTTTTGGAATCAAATAAGTTCATTGGTCCCAATTTACCTCTATACAAAAGTGCTTCGTTTGTCCGTTAGAGAACATATTACATGTATTTTAAGAAACGTTATTCCGACTGAAATTTGACTTTCACAAAAATCAAGAAAGGTACGGGAAGGGTGAAAACTACCCCCACCCATACATAAATTTTAGTATAAATATTTTCCAACTCAACCGACGATCGTTTTTTTTGCAAAATGGTCCTTCTAGTATTTGCTACATTTTTTGTCTCTTGTAAAAAAAACATCGCGCATAGTTTTTGAGCAAAATAATTATTTTTCCAAAGCTGATTCCCAAAAAATGTTTTTTGTTACATCAAGCTATGGAGGCGCATAAAATCTATTATGCCCTAATAATCTAGTTGGTAAAAATATGAAATTTTAAGTTAGTATCACAGATTATATTTGATACTAAGCTTCATAAAAAGCTTAAAAAAAATAGATTTAAATTAATTAACGTTCGGGTTTATTTTTTATTGATGCCCTCTAATGGATAAACGAAGCACTTTTGTATAAAGGTAAACTATGTGCATATTTTGATTCAAAAAATACGTAGTTCTTTTATGTCCACGGAATATTGAAACTTCCTGTATATTTTGTAAGCCTGCTTTGGAAAAATAAATTCTCCAAAAATGTTTTCTCAAAAACTATGGGATGTGGCGTTATTTACAAGAGACAAAAAGGTAGTAAATACTAGAGGGATCATTTTACGAAAAGAAAATCTTCTTCATGGGTGGAGTTGAAAAATATTTACATTAAAATTTATGTAGGGGTGGGCTTAGCTATCGTCCTTCCCGTACTTTTTCTTGATTTTTGTGAAAGCAAAATGTTAAAGCACTTAGCAAAAAAGTCACCAAAAATCTCATTCAAATCGGAGTAACGGTTGTTAAAATATCTAAAAAACGTGTTAATTTTTAAGTTTGATGTTCTCTAGCTGACAAACGATGCACTTTTACGCACTTTTTATGCACTTTTTTAAATACGTAGTAGTGTCCACGGAATATTGAGACATCCTGTATTTTCTTTTTTGTTTGGGTTGGTTTTGGTTTGGTACAAATTCTTTTTCATATTTTCTAAAGTAAATATAATATTTAAGAACAAGATTCTTTATGGTTATATAATATTTTAGCTTATTTTTTATTACTTTGAAATATAAAAAATATCATATTCATAACTTTATGAGTTATGAGACGCATTTTGTAATTATTATCTAATATTAATTTTATTTTGTTTAAGTGTGTATTATAAAACATCATTATAATATTTTCCCTTTAATATGATGTGAAAAATGTTAAAATGTTTGAAATTGGTGTTCTTATTTTAGATTTTGCAATAATTTTGCTTATATTTAAGGAAACGTAACAAAGGCATGCTATATTTCAGAAGTCAGGTATTGTGCGAATATCGAACAAAAGCGACCGTTCAGAAACTGAATAACGCTGTGAAACTGTAACACTTTGAACCAAACACAGAATATCTGAAAATGAGATTTAAGACGTTATTAAGTCTGTAGTAAAATGTATGTTTCTTAAAAGTAAATTTTTGCTTCTAAGCGGATTATTATAATATCAAAAGAACCTCTGGGAATGTTAAGCAAAATAATGTTTTTTTACTTCCAATTATTACTATAAATATAATAGTAGCAAATTAGCATTTTAATAAATTTACAAAAGCAGCTCCGAGTATTTTTTTGGTTCTATAATTAATTACTTAGCTCGCGCTAATAATAATAAAATTGTAATTAGACGTAAAGGGTATTATTAAACGCGGTATAATTTTATAAAACAATAAATATTATAGTATTTAGAGATAAACTATGATTTTTTATAAAGTGTTATATATCCACACATGAACTACAATATGATTGAAATAGAACCGCGTCAGTGGTGACTATGAAATGAAGATCGCTGTTATTTTATATGTAACATTATATGGGGAATGATCGTCATTTCTAAGCCAACTGGACGGTGTTTTTTCCATC